GCAAAATACTCTTCATGATTATGTCTATGAGTTACGATTATGTCCAATTTTTAGGTGTGTATATAGAAAAGTGGAAGGAGAATATTGAAAGGTTTTTAAAGTTCCGCTCCAGAAAGGAGCACTATCACCAATTTCAGTCTATGTCAAACTTGTTGCCATGGAAATGCCAAAAATATTTTATTCAGAAATCCAAAACTACCAAAAGGCACCAGTACACCACCAAATCTATGTATGTGCCAAGTTTGGTGAAGAAAGATTGAACGGTTTTAGAGTTCAGCTCCGGAAAAGTGCACTACCACTAATTTCTGTTTTAGTCAAACTTGTTGCCATGGAAATGCCAAAAATACTTTATTCAGAAATCCAAAACTACCAAAAGGCACCAGTACACCACCAAATCTATGTATGTGCCAAGTTTGGTGAAGACACATTGAACGGTTTTAGAGTTCTGCTCCGGAAAAGAGCACTACCACTAATTTCATTCTAAGTCGAACTTATTGCCATGGAAACGCCAAAAATGTTACATTCAGAATTCCAAAACTACCAAAAGGCACCAGTACACCACCAGATCTATCTATGTGCCAATTTTGGTGAAGAAATATTGACAGTTTTAGAGTTCTGCTCCGGAAAAGACAAATGTGCACGGATGGACGGACGCATGCACTCAGGACAGAGTCCATTTTAATACCCTCCGCAAAACGCGTTGCGGGGATAACAAAACATTCACTAAACACAGTGATTGGCGATTCAGTAACGTGTCAAAACTGGAGAGTTTAATGATGCACATAGTAACTCCACGCTACAATCAATGGATAATATCAAAGAAGAAGGAATTTCCCACAAAATTTCAAAATTGAGAAGTGCATTTATGTTTGTGAATGTATTTGGATATTTTTTTACACTAAAGTGAGGGTTTGAAGAGGAGGGAATTATAGAAAAGTAGCAAACTTAGAAAACCAGTGTATTCACTGATGGGTTGGTAGATATAGTTCATGAATGTTTTGGATTTGCCAAAAGAAGAGACTGTTGGTTACACTGAAAGTAGAAATAAGAAAAGAGATCCATTCAATCACAGCACAATTACAAAACCCTCTGCATTATCCATGAACATCTCAAAGTATTCACCTGATATATCATTGAACGTAAATCTCTACACAACAAATCCTAGTTCTCAGTTAACTTGTATCTGTTTGCATATCAGGGCATACAACACAGACAAGCTCAACCACATTTTAACCATATGTATGTATATCAAAAGCATAAGATACACGCAAGTTTCATGATGTGTTGTATCTGTCTGTACATCAAGACTGATAGTACAGACTGACAATAGAGGCAAGCAGGCTGTGAAACTTGAGTTGCAAATCACTGAAACATTGTACCCATTGTAAACCTCCAAATACAAGCATGGCACCACAATCCAATGTAAATGTATACAAAGCTCTCTGAATATTGACTGTAAGATAATTAAAACATGTGACAAACTGTCAAAACCAAATATTTGAATAAACTCAGTGTACTGTCCATAAATAAACAGAGCCTCAGTATTTGGACTCAGTGGGATTCAGGAATCAGGCCATGAATTTTAACAACATTTATTAATGAATCACTATGACTGATATAACTGGAATACATTGTTGTACAAGAATCACCGTGACTGAAGTAACTGGAACACATTGTTGTACAAGAATTACTATGACTGACATAACAGGAACACATTGTTGTACAAGAATCACCATGACTGAAGTCACTGGAACGCATTGTTGTACAAGAATCACCATGACTGAAATAACAGGAATACATTGTTGTACAAGAATCACCATGACTGAAGTCACTGGAACGCATTGTTGTACAAAAATTACCATGACTGACATAACAGGAACACAATGTTGTACAAGAATCACTATGACTGAAGTCACTGGAACACAATGTTGTACAAGAATCACCATGACTGAAGTAACAGGAACACATTGTTGTACAAGAATCACTATGACTGAAGTCACTGGAACACAATGTTGTACAAAAATTACCATGACTGACATAACAGGAACACAATGTTGTACAAGAATCACTATGACTGAAGTAACTGGAACACAATGTTGTACAAAAATCACCATGACTGAAGTAACAGGAACACAATGTTGTACAAGAATCACCATGACTGAAGTAACAGGAATACATTGTTGTACAAGAATCACTATGACTGAAGTCACTGGAACACAATGTTGTACAAAAATTACCATGATTGACATAACAGGAACACAATGTTGTACAAGAATCACTATGACTGAAGTAACTGGAACGCATTGTTGTACAAAAATTACCATGACTGACATAACAGGAACACAATGTTGTACAAGAATCACTATGACTGAAGTAACTGGAACACAATGTTGTACAAGAATCACCATGACTGAAGTCACTGGAACGCAATGTTGTACAAGAATCACTATGACTGACATAACAGGAACACAATGTTGTACAAGAATCACCATGACTGAAGTAACTGGAACACATTGTTGTACAAGAATCACCATGACTGAAGTCACTGAAACACAATGTTGTACAAGAATCACTATGACTGAAGTCACTGGAACACAATGTTGTACAAGAATCACTATGACTGAAGTCACTGGAACACAATGTTGTACAAGAATCACTATGACTGAAGTCACTGGAACACAATGTTGTACAAAAATTACCATGACTGACATAACAGGAACACAATGTTGTACAAGAATCACCATGACTGAAGTCACTGGAACGCATTGTTGTACAAGAATCACCATGACTGACATAACAGGAACACAATGTTGTACAAGAATCACCATGACTGACATAACAGAAACACATTGTTGTACAAGAATCACCATGACTGAAGTAACTGGAACGCATAGTTGTACAAGAATTACCATGACTGACATAACAGGAACACATTGTTGTACAAGAATGACTATGACTGACATAACAGAAACACATTGTTGTACAAGAATTACCATGACTGAAGTCACTGGAACACAATGTTGTACAAAAATCACTATGACTGACTCTGATCTTTTCTGCAGCTGGACCAATCAAGCAGGTCAGAGGGTGATAGACTGCTTACACAAGAGCAGTGAAAGTTCTTGCATATGAGTACTAATAGTGAATGCAATCTCAATTGGAAAATAAACTGAGCAAAGTGATACAGTGGTTGGGAACATCTTGGTTGTATCAATCACACAACCCGTTAATGACCTGTCTACAATGATCAATATTTCTCCACTCTCTACACAGAATGCTGCACATTCCATAAAACCACTATCCGTGACGTTACACCTCTTCAGGAGACATGCGTGGGTCGCACTAACCTAACCGATCCTTACAGCACAATGTTTTCTTGCATAACATAATACATCAAATGCACCTCTACAGATGGCAGAACTAGGTACATGATGGAGATCCCCAAAGGGCAAACTAACATTCAAGTTCTTGTCCATTTGAGGCAGTTTGGTTTGCTTGATGTGGTAGGGCTCAGAGAATCAGCTGTGGAGGGTGGGATACATAGGTTTTTGTTCATGTAAAGGTGTAAAATTTAGACGTTTGATTTTCAGGGTATGAAACTCCCAAAAATTTCAGCCAGACCACAGTGATGGTTAGATGCAAAACTTGCCAGTCCTGATCAAAACTTACCTGCCAACAAAATATCTTCATATACATGTCTAAATTTTATCCCAACCGTCGGGCAGGTGAGTTTGAGAATCTGGCAGTCCGAGTTGAAAAATAACCCGTCCCGGGCAGGCAGATATTTCGAACGTGGTTATTTTACAAGAACGTCAGAACTCAGGTGCTAGTGTTTGTGAAGGGTGGTACACATCGGAGTTTAAGTGAAGAGTAGGCCTTTATACACTTGTCATGTGAAGGTTGGGATATATAGGTGTTTGATTATGTGAAAGGTAAGACATACAAGGAAGAGAGTTTAATGGATGTCAACTTCTTTATTATGAGAAAAAAACCATTTCGGATTATATCCTTACTCCTTCATCAGGTGAACTCATCTGATGAAGGAGTAAGGATATACTCTGAAACATTGTGTTCCTCATAATGACCTTCCTTATGTGGGTGGTCAGGCTCGCTGACTTGGTTGACACATGTCATTATCTTACCTCACACATAAATGTCGCTTTCTGATTGGCTGAGCGCTCTTCTATTATTTACAATGTACCCCGCTTACAAGCGAGTAACATTTCAATGTACCCCGCTGTCAATGGCAACTCATTTGGTACTTCGTGGTAGTAATTCTTCATTTCGAATATCATTGAATCATGTATGACTTATGGAAATTACCGATGTTTTGCGAATGCAAATCGATGGAAGGGAGATAACTTTAAATCTGTTTTTTTTCTTGTCAGCAAAATCTAGCGATGGCTACAAAAAGATTTGTACCCGTGCTTCAAACAATTCAAAATTAACATTAAGGTGTTCGGTAAGATAAATACGTTGTTCACTGGTCCCTCGGGGCCCATGGGTTGATGTACCCTTGATGTTTGTTTATGTTCCCCTCGCCCTTCAGGGTCAGGGAACATAAACAGACATCGAGGGTACATCAACCCATGACCCCCTCATGACCAGTGAACAACTTATATTGTATCCCAGCTCATACTGTTGATCACTGGAATGTTTGGTCTAGACATAATTATTTACAGACAAACGCCATATAGCAGTGGAGATAAACAGATATTTTCCTTGGAAGAAGTACAGTGGAGATATAAATATATTTCCCTAGGAAGAAGTACAGTGGTAAAATATCAGTATACATATTTCCCTTGGGAGATATACATATAATCCCCTAAGAGGAGTAATAGTGGAGATAAAACACATATATTACCCTTGGAGGAGGAAATATATCATGTACCATATATGGTTTGATTTTCTGGAACATGTCAAGTGGGTGAATGTCTGGTAACTTACTTCTGAGCAAATCATTAATCCTTGTATTAAAACAGCACAACACCGAGACTTACCTTCAATGTGGGTAAGATCCGTGTTCTGGTTCCGCTCATCCTCCAGCTGAACAGCTCTGTAGAAAAGTAGCAGACCATAATTTAATCCCCCGGCAAAACTTGTTACAAGTTCGTACAAAGAAAATAACAAATATGATGAAGAGCTGAATGATGAGCAGTGCCAGTATCCAGAGAAACTTCAGTAGCAGTGTCATGATTATGTGTCCGAACACTCGCAGACGACGCAGGTATATAAGTAACTTCTTGTACAGCACATACAAGTACCAGAACATCTTCTAGTCACATGTCAGTGGGAATCCAGGTACCAACCATCAACTCAGGTGCCCATCCATGAACTCATCCATAAAATCAATGACACATAACATATTAACATTTCAAAACATTTCACAATTTCCATTAGGAATATTGGATATTTAGGACTAATTTGTCAATGTCATACTTCTTTATGAAGGTAGGCAGTACCCACAACTCATTGACTGCCTACTTAACGAATGAAAGCCGCAGAGAAGTTGTTGCCTTGTTAATTAATATTGTTGTACTCAGGGAAATCAACACACTTGCAACATTGCCAGACACATCATTCAATGCTTACAGGTACCACTAGGGGCAGATTATCTTCATAGTACTCTACCGATACACAATCGGACCCCAGCAACAACCCAACACTATCCGACCATATCTACACAGAAAATGGCCAGGGCTTGGTGACACTGCATGTATTGTTATACATTCATGATGAGGCCATGAAACTGGGCATTCTAGCAAGGAAACTGGAATATTTCTCAAGGTGTATTTCACAGAATTGCTTGTTTCTTAGATTTTCTAGATACTCCACGTGTGTTTAGATCACTGTCACAAATAGTTTTGTTTGGTCATTACTTGCTTACATCAATGTTTCAAGGTTTATCCCCAGAAAGAATGACCATGAGTATTCTGTACATGATGAAACAAGTACAACAACATATACAGGGATGTATGGTGTTCACCGGAATGTTATCAACGTGGGTCAAGCTGAAGTGATTGGAGTTATCCTCTTGACATCACTGAAAAGTGTGACACCCTCCACAAGTCCACCATCTGCTGAGACACACATTTCAGGGATGAAGCTGGTGACACAGCTCACCCTCAGCTTGTGCTACATTCACCCAATGAAGGATGTCTACTTGCTTCTGAAAGACATGGGTCATTTTTGCACCTAAATTGTACAATTTAATAGCAACATAACTATGGTTTACATGTTGCTGCCCATGGTTTTCTTTCTATATCACCTGCCAACAGGTTTTCTACACTGCCTCGGCCGGAATACACAGGTGACCCAGCCGTCGTCCAGCCCTTAATGCAGCCCCGACCGCTGGACAACCAGCTTCATAGAAACACAAAGCTGAAATAATGTCCAGCCTACATTTCACTTTTGCAGAGGTGCTGCACAATCAAATGAGATGATGTCAACTTTTTTGTCTGTATTTGAAACAAGCTTCATAAAATGTGTACATGGTAATGTCTGAAATGCTGGGAGAAGATTGTGATGTACGACACAGAATTGTTTATTACTGAAGACACCATTGTTAGGGTACTTCTTATGCAGCTGAATGAAATTCAATCCTGAAAGCAGATAAGTTGCAAGTGCAGATGTCAGTCTCCCTGAACACAGGAAGTGCTGATTTCAACTCGGTATGCATCCTGGGACATTCTCCTTCAACCCTATATCCACCCAGACAGATACGTTCAGCTCTGATGGTGTTGTTGTTTGTGCATCGATCCTGGGCTCATTGACACTTAAGCTGAATGGAAACCACATCTCAACTCATTGGAGAAAATTAATCCATCCAAATTATTTCATATCCAGGATAATGATCGAGTAGTTAATTAAATTGCAGAGCAGCCACACAGTGTTCCTTGCGATGGCAGTACTTCAACAGCTTGGACAGCAGGCAAGGTTACCAAGTCAACAACAAACTAGTGACACGCAACCTTACAATCCTGATTAAAACATTTCAATTCAACTCATCCCTTCTTCTCATTGAGGCAGTTGTCTGTCCACAGATTATCACATAGCTCTGCAGCCATGGAGGACACACGGCACTTGTTTGAACACTATCCACCGAGAATGATATTCAGGTGTAAATCTCAGACATGCTTCAATGGAGTTACCTGTTATAGTGTGTTACATGGCATACCATCCCTCCTCATTATAACACAGCTCAATACTGAACAATGGCAATCAGTAATCTCCCTCATCTACCTTCCATTCTATCTCCAGTACAGCTTGATACTCGGGAGGAACTACCTCTGATGCATGTATTTTGAAGAGTGTGTGCATCCCCCATCCTGTGTTATAGTAGGGTTTTAGACAAGTAAATCCAACAAGTGTAGGAGTGGCTACTTACTGTAGTGAAGCTTACATATATATCACAACAACATTTGTACTGAGATCTACAGCTACCACTTGCAACAGTCAGCAACATTTATACTGAGATCTACAGCTACCTCTTTGAACATTCAGCAACATTTATACTGAGATCTACAGCTACCACTAGCAACATTCAGCAACATTTATACTGAGATCTACAGCTACCACTTGCAACATTCAGCAACATTTATACTGAGATCTACAGCTACCTCTTGCAACATTCAGCAACATTTATACTGAGATCTACAGCTACCACTTGCAACATTCAGCAACATTTATACTGAGATCTACAGCTACCACTTTGAACATTAAGCAACATTTATACTGAGATCTATAGCTACCTCTTGCAACAGTCAGCAACATTTATACTGAAACCTTCAGCTTTCCAGAAGGAAGGATAACAATATATGGATGAACAACTTCTTTATTGCTGTGAGAGCGATGTTTCGGTGTAAGTTCTAACAACGTTATCAAGCAAGTGATGCCTCTCAATGAAGTTACTTCAGCTTTCTCTTTGAACATTCAGCAACATTTAAGCTGAGACCTACAGCTATCTCTTTCAACATACAGCAACATTTATTAGGGTTGTGCAATATAACCGGTTAACCAGTATTTACTTGTTCAGACATAAAAACGATATGCATTGTGATACGCTGATTGAAAACCGGTACTTTGACATGCATTCAGAAAACGTTGTAACAATCGGAAATCTTCAGATATTTCCTTGTTTCATTTGTGCCAAATATTATTTACATTTTTATTTTGTTTTTATTAAAGACTTAATCAAGCATAGTGACTTTGTTGTGTATTTGCTTTATAAACCAAGCATTAACTTGTTTATAAGCTTGATTTGAAAAAACCTCCATATCGCAATGTATACTTTCACATCGCAATATGAAAATTCCCTGCAATACCCACCCTTAACATGTATACAGATTTCTCTTTGAACATTCAGCAACATTTATACTGAGACCTACAGCTACCTCTTTCAACATACAATAACACCATTAGTATGGAGACATCTTTATAGAAATAAAATGAAAAATACAGACATTCATCATATCTTTCTTACACCAGTGACAACCATGAGCATGTGACCAAGACACATGCTGGCTGCTGTGCCGTCTAGGTTAATAGCTCCAGGTGCTGGATCCTGACTGTTACTCAAGCATAGAGTGCTGTAACTGTGACAAGGTCACATTCAAATCATGAATGCCTTACACTCCTGGGCCCCTATTCTCGAAACGTTCGTAGCCCTACGAACTTCTTAAGTCCATTCTTTACACATTGGCTACGATCAAAGTTACAAATTCTTAGGGCTACGAACGTTTCGAGAATAAGGGCCCTGTACCTGTTGCTCTAACCACCTGTCTCTGTAACTGCAAGACAGCCACATCCATGGACACCCAGGAAATGTAATGTCTTTGCAATTAACTCCGAAATACTCAAACAGAGGCTCACATCTCTATTGTTTTCAGTAGCAATTTGATCCTTGCAGGGTTCCCACAGGCATGGCAGGCCAAAATTCCCTGACTTTTCCCTGACAAGTATAGATTTTTCCCTGACCATTTAAGTGTAAAAACTGGCCTCCTTCCTCCATTTCAGTCAGTCCTAACCACCCTGTTAAGATATTTCCTTCACATATATCATAAATACACACAATATTTGTTAATTTAATACATTAACCAAAACATTGATATTTGTGATGAAGAAAACTTTCCTTGACTCTCCTGCCACAACGTCACATAACACTATTAGATACATTTGAGCGTGACCATCAAATATATATTCTCAGGTGAAGTCAGTAATATATCATCTGAAACTTTATATTTTATATTAAAGGCTTTTGACAAAGAGCATAAATGTGAAACTAATGATTTAATTGAATTGTTTCATTCAAAGTCAGGAACACATTTCTTCATTATCACAAAATGTTTTAATTATCAAAGGCGTATTTGGAAAGAATAAGCATGCAAGATTTAACTTTACATTCAGTACAACAATGACAACTAGATTATGAACATCAATAAACCACTTTCAATTTTGTGAACAAACAGCAAATGTCAGAACATAGGGCATATTATAAACCTATGCTGTACTTTAACAATGAAACTTATATGGGTATTTTTGGCCAATATGGGCTTTTACAATTTGCAAGAAACCACCATAGCCATCATACTATTTATAATATTTTGGAACAGTATACAAATGAATGGAAAATTATCTGTTAACATAGTTATCTTTAGAAGAGGTGGATCTGTTGCCTATAAAGAAAAATGTTTTTGAATGGCAAACAATTATCTATTGTTAATCACTATGCCTATCTCGGATTAGTGTTTTTCCATACTAAACAAGAGTCATCACAAGATGACAAATCCCCCGCCCCTACAAATATGAAAGAGCAAATCATCTGACAGTTACTTAAAGTTGAACTTCATTTTTTTAGGCAAATTCCAATATGTTTCCATGGAAACCAAGAAAAATAGATATGACAAAAATCTGTAAATAGCAAAAGGCACCACTTTAGGTTCTGTATGATATATCTGCCAAATTTTGTTGAAAGATATTAAAAGGTTTTCGAGTTGTGCTCCGGAAACAAAGTCCACCACTCCCTTTTAAGAACAGTCTAAAACGTTTCCATGGCAACCAAGAAAAATAAAAATGACAAAAATATGTAAATAGTCAAAGGCACCACTTTAGGTTCTGTTTGATTTATCTGCAAAGTTTTGTTAAAAACATTGAACCGTTTTCGAGTTATGCTCCGGAAACAAAATGATTATGGATGGACGGACAGACAGACGGGCGAGGTGTCGACTATATCCCCCCGCATTCATGCTAAGAAGGCTCTTATCAAATTTATGTCAGTTTCCCAGAATTTTGGAATTTTAACCTGGAAAATATGTTTCATATTGTTTGATTCACAAATCCAACCGATTGTGCTTCATAGAAGAATATGTCTGTTATGTCACCCGGCTGTAGAAAATAACATTCACATTATGCTGATTTAAGAAAACAATACATGCCAAATAATTATCTGTAAAAATATCCTTCAAGTGACTTTGTTTCCATTCTATCCTCCAGAAATGAAAATGTAATATGTAATCTAGGGCTTTATGTAAAACATGCTGCTATGCTTAAAAGCAATCTCTTATCTGAACTGTAATTTATTTCATGAAATGTCTGTAACATGTGCTGCTTCTTTGACTTTGACTACTACCATACCTGATTAGCGACATTCTGAGTCTTATTTTTCCCTGACCAAAACCCTAAATTTCCCTGACTTAAACCTCAAATTCCCTGACTATTCCCTGACTTTTGAAAACATATCAAAATTCCCTGACTTTTCCCTGACTTTCAGAGAAATGCCAAATTTCCCTGACTTTTCCCTGACCTGTGGGAGCCCTGCCTTGGACAAAAACCTGTGCGTATTGTTGTCTCTCTGCTGTTTCTGTTCCTTCGTCAGCAAGACTGGCTGTTGTCATGTTCAAGCCACACACACAAGGACCTGGCCTACAATTAAACTCATCAACACTTGTTACATCAGACCATCCACTTACATGTGACCAGTCATGATGGTAGAGCCAGTATGGACACTGATCCAGCAGCCGAGTGCACTACCCAAGAGCCCATGCACCCACACATCACATGAAAAACTGGCTACCACATACCAGGGTGTACTTCAGTGATTCTCAGATTTCCAGCAAATCGTCAAACTGTTCCGTGTTCAGTTGTAATGGTCAACACTTGTTCTTTCCCATCCTGGTGTAGATGAACACTTTATGGACAGACAACTTCTTCATTGCAATAGATGCGACGTTTTGAGGTAGATGCTAACACCCTTATCAAGCAAATGACAATCATTTCTGGTATACTATCCAAGAAATAGGAGAGGACAGCAAGGATCAGTTAATGATCCAACTCTTTCTTTCACAGAGGATCTCACTGTATCCATGAGATTTAACTGATCAGAGATTTTTCTAATCATAGCAGTGGTTCCTTCATGAAAAATGCAATGATCATCAATACCAGCACACACTATCAGCTGCCAAGAATATGGACCACTTCTATGTACCTCTGGTGTCTATGATACCAACTTACAATACTGCTTTGTGCAACCTGGCCCTTGAAACACTACAAACTACTCTAACACTACACCAACAATCATAAACCAACTAGTGTGTATTTTTCTGCATTTAAAGACAAATTTCTGAGGTGAGGCGAAATTGGGTTTAACGTCGTAGTTAAGAATATTACGCTCATATGACGTGCATGCATGTGTATGTGTGGCTGCTTGTACTAGCCCAGACTTAAGCTGGTTCTATAGTGCTAGCCCACTGAGATACCATGCCACAGTAAAGCATGAATACCCCACTCAGACACATTATACTGACTCCGAACCAACCAGTCCTTGTTGCACCCATTAATGCCGAGCGCCAGACAGGCCAACAAATACCATGTTTTAACATGTTTTGGTATGACACGGCCGGGGATCGAACCCGCGACCGTCCGCTCTCTGGGCGGACGCTCTTACCACTTCACCACAGAGGCGGTCAGATATTTCTGGAAGCGGTATCCACATAATATAACAACAACTACATATTCAGTTAGTACCTGTTGTAAACATTTGTAAATCATCGTGAAAAGTAACAGGGCAGCATGAGCTCATAATCTACCATTTCAAGGAAGTAACATAAACACACACATAAACACAAAACACTCGTCATATGTTAAGGTGTGTCTCACTGCACCTGACTGTCTTGTAAACCTCACATTTGCTTGCAGAAACAGTCCTATGCACAAATTATCACAGGCTGATATTCAAAGGCTTGAATTATAAATCCTGTGTACAC